ATAATTTACAGGGCTTGATTGGAGGCAGATTGGCTATGAAAACACTGTGGCTAACAAATAGCGCTGTCAGCTCTGATTCCTTATGGCCCATCTAATCGTTATCTGAGGATAACAGTGCCTGAAATCTTCAATAGGGTTCATTTGTCAGAGAAGAATCATCACAGGTAGGGAAAAACCATCACCATTCAGCAGGTGCTGCCTGCATTCGCATCATCAGGCTGGGCTGGGGAGATCCCAGGGATAGTGGTTTGGGGGGGAGGGGAAAGGTAGTGCCGGAAATTAACGATTGCCTCCACTCTTCTCTCAATTGGGAGTTCAGTTCTCCTTTGTGCTCTGTAGAAATGCTAGCCTGTGTGACCTTTCGTACACTGCTCAGTCTGAGAGCATCCCCCAAGAAGGCACTGGAAAACCACTTCTGGTTATTTTATACCTTGAATGCCCTGAGAATGGTCACCATAAGTCAGAAACAACTCAATGGTACATTATTGTAATCATTGTTTTTTGGAGTTAGCACTGCACTGTGGAGAGTGGAAGATCATTCCTGGTGTGCTTTTCAGGCAGAGGCAAGAGTGGGTTTAGTTTTAGCTGAGGCTGGAAAATATTCTGGATTTCTATAAGCATCATATAGTCCAGAAAAGAAAACTTCCCAGCTGTAGGCTTGTATTAATGGACTTGGGTGTCCCTCTGATTTAACATGAATAGATGTCATAAACTGATTGTGGCAATTTCTTTATGTTACAAGCATAATTTCTCTATAATCTTTGTAATTAACGCTGTCGACTTTTTATTGCTCATTGTTTTCTGAGTGGTCTGGTTTCATTTATTTTCATATGAACTTGATATATATGAAACTTTAAAAATGTAACAGAAACACAGTAGAAAATATGTGAGCTTATCTCAAAAGATCCATGAAACAGGAAGAGGCAGAAACACAAAACGTCATGTGGATGCTACTCAGGTGCCACCTTAAATAAATGGTTGACTTATATTCTTGACCGACCATGGTGGTTCAAGGAATTCTGGGAGTTTTAATCCTCTAACAAAAATGGCCAGAGCTAGAAACACAGAGTAGTACTGATTTACCAGCTGATACTGGTAATTACCATACTGTCTGGGGGAATCTGGAAGTTGTAGTCAAAAGAATTTACCCAGGGGGATTCTGGGAGTTTTAGTCTTCTTATCATCATAGATCTCTGGGACAGTAGAAGCTAGGGATGTGAAATTTTCCATGAATGCTGCTATTGTTCCAGCTTAATAACTGGCAATAACTTCATTTCACCTGGCAGTGGGGGCGGGGCATCCTGGGAATTGTAGTACAATTACCAAACCAAAATGTCAAGAACTAGAGACATAAAGTGTTGCACAGATAGTACTGGTTGATTTAAATAACTCAATAAGACAGATTTCTCAGATGGCCATGCTTTCTGGAGGAATCTGGAAAGTATAGTCCAAAAATTACTTGGGTGATCCTAGAAGTCTTCTTACATCAAGAATAAAGTTTGCAGTTACTCTGGGGTCCCCACTTAAGCTGTTTGTCTGCCCCTCTGGGCTGAGGGGACTCCGATTGTCATCTCAGCTGAACAGCAACATGTAAGAATACATCTTCCTCTCCATAGATGCTATTGATTTCCCAATTTACAGCTTACGTCATGAATGGGATTCTAGGAGTTATATTCCAAAGATGTCATCTGGGGAGTTCTGGGAGTACTAGTCCTCTTACTGAAATAAGAAATTGTACACAGAAGCTCCTGATGACTCAACAGACATGACTGGTTAAGTTATACTTTGATTGTCCTTAGTGTGTGTGTGTGTGTGCGCGAGCGCATCTGGAATGTACACAGGTGGGAAATTCTCTTTACATTCTCCCAGCCTGACGATCTATGGCATCATTAGGGGAATTCCTACAGCCTGTATCCTGCCAGGCCTCCACATCATAAAAACCAAAACAAACCAAAAGAGAGAGAGAGAGAGACCAAAAATGGACAACAGCACATCCAGAAACATCCAGGGATTTTTGAGAAGTCTCTCCAGCATTCTGAGAACTGTAGTCCCCCCATTTTTTCTTCAAACTCTGTATGTGTATAAATCTGACCAGTATCAATTATCAAATGCTTTACTGGAGAAAGGGAGGACAAGAGTATGTTTTCTTCATTCCTACACACATGATCTGATGGACCTTATTATAAAACATAAGGAAACCCTTTGTATGTGATTCTATGAAATGTTTCCAGGCCTCTCTTCCTAGGCATGTTATTCAGCCCTGTTAGCCTCTTCTGGGAAGAAAGGTGCTCCAAGTGGCTCCCTGACCATTTTGGTTGTCTTTTGCCATGTCTTCCCATCTGAACAAAGTCCTTTCTGAGATCCAGTGTTTAGAGCAGTACACCATATCCCAAGTGTGACTGGATCAGATTTGAAATGAGGTGTCACAATACAGTATTGTTTGTTTTCAGTTGCTTTTACAGACGATCCCTAGCATGGCACTTGCCTTCTTCCCAGCTGCTGCATGTTGAGCTGATATTTTTAGTGCCCTGATCACTACAGACCCCTTGCTGAAGGCTTGCTTGCTGAAGGCCTAACACATATCACTCCTGGTTTTGGAAAAGGGCTTTTTTGGCCTGAAAAAGTACGCAGGCAATGAGATTGTGGTATAAGAGATGCCATTTTCTATTTTTAGGCTCAGTTGGTTAAGTCATGTGGACGGTCTTGCAGGCCACACAATTCCAACCTCAACATACATAATATACAATGGCTAATGATAGTTTCTATATTTTTATTTATTTTCTGAAGACTACTATGCTTTTCAGAAAAAGGATATCTCAAAGAATGTCTCATTTGCCCACCCCACCCTCAAATTTAAGACTTTGCCACCACAAAAACTACTACTTCTACCCACAGAAGTTTTACAGATGTTTAAATCTCTATGTTGTATGCCATTTTCATAACTTGTCTGTGCAAAATTTGGGGGAAGACAAGTCTATCATTTAAAGCTTTTTTAACGTACTCAGCCGAGTTTGGCAGGCCTGTTTCATTTACCCCCACCCCAAATGCTTTGCAATTCCATTGTCAAATAGTACAAGAACTCATGCTGGCAATTCACTTTTTTAAAATCAAAAATTAAAAATGTGTAGTAGAAAATCATCTGTGTTTATTGGTTTACAAGTTTATCCTCTTAAGGGCTATTGTACCTCAAAAGGTAACCCATTATAGGCAACAGAAAAAGTGTGTATTGATTTTCAGTGACAGCCAGCTGGAGGCATGGTAACCTATATCCCATCATCAAAATTCAGAAGTGGACCTGAGTTATACTGGATGGGCAGACCTTCAAATCAGTCTGAGTAGCACTGGACTATTCTTTAAACTTCTAAATTAGAATCTGAACCAAATCTTGTGGTTAGTTCTCCTGGTTACCATTTCTCTCTTAGGAACCCACTTTCAAAAGTAAATAGCATTAGGACAAGGAAAAGATTTATGTCAGGAAAAATACTTTAGAATTCAAGTCCCTTAGTGTCACTAATGATCAGGAATTATGGGAGCTGTAGTTCAACACATCTGCCGAGTGCTAGCTTGCCTACTCTTGGATTAGTGCTTAGATGGTTCAGTATAATACAATGTAAAAGAAGATCTCTCTCCAAGTGTTAGTCCTCAGGAAGATATGTGTTTGGTCCCTTTCCTTTGAGAAAATCTCTTCCTGGTCCTGTTGTGTGTTGCATCCATCACAGATGAATCTGTTCTGTCCACCTTCTTCAAAGCCTCTCCAGTACTCGGAGTGTAATCACTTTTACTCTTTTCCTTTGAAATAATACAAGGAGGATCAGGAGAGTGCTCTTATGCTCTGGTGTCCATAAGGGAGGTTAATCTGTTATCTCAGAAGAGTCAGCTTCCCATCTGGAAGTGGGTATTTAATTAAGAGCAACTCATCACAGATTCCAATGCCTGGAGTAAAACCAGAAAAAAAAAACACCCCGATTTCTTTTTCTTTTCTTCCTTCTTTTATCTCTTGCCGTTTAATGCATATTACACCCCAGGGGAGAAGTAAATTGCTCAATGCGAGCCCTATTCTCTGAGCACAGTTGCTCACTTGCATCGTAGATTGCCTTTGCTCATTTCTAGCAATCCCTCTGATTTTTCCCAAAAGACTGGATTCCATGACAAATTCTCCTCAAGACAAAACCAGGCTCCACAATTTCTCTCTCTGTGTGTTTCTGCGTGCACACACATGTGTATGTTGCTTGGGTCATTCTGGTCACCCCAATTAAAAAAAAAGCAATTCAATGCAAGCTACTATTAGGATGAACCAATCTCTTTGTGGAAGATGTTGATTCAGATGCCTTTTGTGTAGAGATGGGCACAAACTGTGGTCCAGTGGATCAGGCCCACAGGCGCTGCATGGGTGCCCCAGATTCCCCACTCTGCCTCCTCTGGCAGGCACCCACTCAGAGGAGGAGGCAGGGCAGGGAACCATCTCTGCTCTTCTCTGCTCTTGTGTTTCAGAAGGTATTCAAACTAACCTAAGGTCAATAAGAAAGGACTCTTAAAGAATGTCCACATTTGATTATGTCAGGAATGGAGAACATCTGGCCTTCTGGACATTGTTCAACTACAATTCCTGTCATCGCATACAATTAGATGTGCAGAATGGTGGGTGTTGCGGTGTGGCAGCATTTCATGAGTCACACATTCTCCATCTCTGGACTAAGCCTTGCCAGCAACCCCTTTCTCCTAACTCATAGTACGTAGGCTTCAGAAACCACAGAAACAGAAGCAGTCTGTTCGCTTCTGTGGTTCAGTCTCTAAGAAGGTCTAGGACAGAGTTTGGAGAAGTTGCTTTTTGGGGACTACCATTCAGAATTGCCCTACCAGTATGGCAACGGAGCTGTGCATGAAAACACAACTTTTCAAAACTCCAGTTTGGTGTGAACGTTTGCCCCATAAGTTCCATGTCAGAAAACTGAACAAGGTGAATAACCTAATTATTGATACTGATTTGTCTCTTCTTTCAGCTCTGGCTACCAAACAGACTTATGTCAGCTATACTAACCATGCAATTTAAACCCAGCTGATGACAACTGATCACAAGAAAAGGGCTGATGAGGAGGATGGACAAGAAAGTGGAATTGAGCCCCTCAGCACAGATGATGTATGTTACACTGGGGAAAGGGTGGAACCATATGTGATTCCAAGGATGAATGTCTCCATTCATGGATGTCTGTTTCTGATTGCCGGGTTATTGGAGGCAGCTCTTCAAGAGGAAGGCCACTAACAGCAGCAGAAAACAACAACCCACCCACCCCATGAGAAATATTTGCCTTCTGTCAGAAGGAGAGGAACAGACCAATGGGGTGGACATCACACCGAGTGGAATGAAGATGACAGATCTTTAGCAAGTTTTTGGGTTGGTTTCTTTTCCTTTGTCTTGGTAAACGAAAAAGAAAAAATCCCCCCCTTTATCCAAAAAAATTGTGAGATGGTTTGTGGTTGTGAAGAGTCTTTCTTTCTCTTATTTTTCTTTCCTCCCTTCATTTTTTTCATTCCTGTCTTCTGACTTCTTCACTCTTTTCCATCTTGCTTTCCCTTCTGTCTTCCTCCCCTCCTCCTTACCAAATTCTCTGTGTTGCAAAAAAATAAAATAAAAATGCATTTAAAAAAAACACAAAAACCATCAACAAGAACAACAAAAATGAAAACAAAACCTAGACTGTGTTCAAAGTGCTGATTTCTATAGGTGGTAAATTAATGTATGTGATGACCATATGGATTGAAATATGTCTGCTTTAATGTACTGACCAATCAAAAATGATAAAAAACATAAAAAAATTCAAAAGTTCAGTGCCTGGATGTTTATGAATTATTCAATGACAATGTGTAGAGCATGATCATTTTTATACCAGACTATTTCTAATAAAAACCATGGTTTTGCACTCAGGAATTGTATTTCTGTTCTTGACGTTCCTTTGTGTCTAAAGGGTAAAGAAAATGTTGCTTATTAAAGTCAATGCTTTGGCCAGTGCCAAAGAAATCTAATGGAGTAGGGTACATAGAATCATAGGTTGAAGTCCTGTTGTTTCATGTCTGCCTGCTCAATGAGAATTATGTCATCAGCAGTGACAGATTGCCACTGATTAAAGGCTTCCTTTTGTGATTCTGGGATGCAAGCAACTTTGTTGCATTGTGTATAAGCAGGTTCATTGCCTTGTATGCACATCCCAAAATAACAAAGGGAAGCTTTTAATCAGTGGCAATCTGCCATTCATGATTATGCCATTGTTGTGCAGGTGGAGCTGTGTAACAGGATTTTTTGGGAATTTTTTTGGTTATTCCCTTTCAGTTAGAATCAGAAACATGGAGAGATCAACCCAGTTTCATCAGCCCCTTGGTTTGGTTTCTGCACACAAACTAGCACTTTGCTTATACAAAGTGTTATTATAAAATTACTCTAGAAGCATGTAAAGTTGAAAAAAGGTTTCTTTACTTATTGTTGCAATCAGTAGTTACAAATGGAAGACTAAAAGGGAAAAAAAACACAAGGAGTTGGAGTCTCTGTTGTGTGGGAGAGACATCCTTCTATGCCTCGCACATGAAGCCAGGAATAGAGAGAATGAAAGAGAGAACAATGGAAGCAGGACAAAAAAACAGTAACAAGGGGCAGGAGCTAACTTCAAGCAGGAAAAAAACTCCATCGGTCAGGTCAGTGGCAAAGCACAATCACCTTATAACTCAGAGCTCAAATATCCCTGAGAAGTGGCCATCAAACCTCTGTTTAGAAACCCCTGCACACACGCATGGGCCAGATGTGGCCAGTGGACCGTATTTTGGAGACCCCTGATTTAGAGCTACAGAAAACAACATTGCTGTATTTTCTACCTGACAGCCCTTCCAGTATTTAAAGATGGCGATTACATCACCTCTTTGCCTTCTCTTCTCCAGGCTAAAGATACCCAGCATTCTCAACACTGTCTCACTATCATCTTGCCATCCTGGTTGCCCTCCTCTTTACACATTTGAGCTTGTCAATATCCTTAAATTGAGGTGCTCAGAACTGGACACGGGATTTCCAGCTATGGCTGACCAAAGCAGAGTTGACATCAGTGCTGTATGTAACACTCAGAACTGGACACGGGATTTCCAGATATGGCTGACCAAAGCAGAGTTCAGTGGTACTATGATTTTCCATGATGTGGACGATACATTTCTGTTGATACAGCTGATTACCACCAAAGCCTGAGACTTAAGCATGTCTTTTTGATATTTTAGGAGATGGCCCTTTCTGATGTCAGCGCAACTATAAAATAGCATATGTGACAGATAGATAATAGACAAAATAATGACATTAAAGGCAAGTTTGTGAATTACAGTAGCAGCAGTCCTTCTAGAGCATGCAAGACAATGAAAAAGGAAGGCTTTTCTCTGACCATATCTAAATAGCAGGTCCTCAAGCCATGAAAATGAACCCCCAGATCAAGCTAGTCGTTTCCTATCGCCTGAGATTTCAAATTCATAATCAGAGTCCAAGAGACTGGACCACAAAGTCTGAACCAAAGTCTAAGGCCTGGCAATCTTAGATCCAACCTATGGGAAAAGGGATGTTGTTGTTGTTGTTTAGTCGTTTAGTCATGCCCGACTCTTTGTGACCCCATGGACCAGAGCACGCCAGGCCAAGCTGTCTTCCACTGCCTCCCGGAGCTGGGCCAAATTCATGTATCATATCCAACCCATGTCCAACCCACAGAGATGCTGTACATACCAAATATGTCCTAATGCACATTGTTATGGAGAGTGGGCTAGGTGCCCAAAGAATTAGAAACCAAAGCCTTTTGAGGACTCCAGAGACTGGTTCTCCTCGCTACGCTGCCTTTTTGTGGTGGCTTCTTTTTTAACCACCTCATTTTGTTCTTGCTAGAGTGGCATGTCACCAAAGCTCGCCACAAGCCAAGAGCCTCTGCGTCACCCACCTTTTATGACGATTTTGCCAGTGAAGCATAGTGTTCTTTGGTGAAAAATACTTTCCTTCTACCTTCAGCCCTCATATGGGCAAGCATTATAAAAGGTTCCTTTCTCTAACCCCCCTGTTTACACTTAGTGCCTCTTGTCACCATTTCAAAAGGGTACATGCACACATTCCCTGGGAGTGGGAGTGGAGAGAAAAGCTTTTCTCTCTGAGTCAGGCTTATTAGCATTTTAATTATGCTCTCACTCCAGGTGGTCTTTTTTTGTCTGTGGGATGACTGTACACCAAGGTGCAACATAACAGCTTCCTGTGTGAAATGTATAAATATAAAGACAGCTGGCATAACACTACTTGGCCAGTATGATTTTAGTCCAGCTTCTCCTCAGTGGGGGTTAATATACCACTTATTCAGTCCTTCAGCCAGCATTTTAAAACCCTCTTACCACAGCAGGATGTTCCAACTCCTGGTCCAGGGCAAACTTCCTGGGTGATTGAACATCCTCTTCCCATCACTCCACACTCCCAGCCTCGGATCCCATGGGTTAGCGTATGATGCTATAAAACAGAATCATAGCAGAGACATAATTCACAATGCACACCTCAGCAGGGGACACAGATGGAGAGGTGCTGCATGGTTTTATCACTGCCCTATGGTCCCTATGGTCTGGTGTAACTGTAATCAAACCAGTAATGACAGCATTTGGAAATCAATGCAATCTAGAATCACCCTGGTCCATTCCAAGGCCATTATCATAACACTACAACAGGGGTGAGCTATTTGGGCGGTTTGGGGGCCACATGTTCACCCTCAGCCTCTAGCAAGTTTCACCAAGCCTGGACGTGGTCAAAACTAGAAAGATGAAAATGAAATGTAATGAAATTCTGAGTTAGTGATTTGTAAACTTCACAGAGTAGTGTGTCTGCAAGGAGGGCAGTATATAAATCAAATACATTAATAAATAAAATAAAATACAAAAGTGATTGGATGCCCTCTTACGGTATTGATATTTTGGTTTAGAGGTGATATTTGGCTTGGGGGTGCTCCCATGTAAAAGTGATCAAAAAGCAGAAACATCATAAAAAGTGGGTGGGGAAAATGGGAAAAAATATTCATGGCCCAGGGATTACAGCTTTTCCATGGGAATGATATGTGGGCATATGCCTGCATATGCACATTGCATACATGTACATACAGCTGTGTATGCTTACTCTCTCTCTCTCTCTCTCTCTCTCTCTCTCCAGATAAACTAACTTTTGTCAGTACAAGTCAGTTCTAAACTATTTACACATTCTTATCCACTACTTGTTGAAGCTGCACAATATAGTATATATGAAGCAATTCCATCTCTCTGTTTCTTCTGTGTTTTGCAGTTCACTGAATGCAATATAATGCACCCTAGTTATTTGCTTAATAACAGTCAGAAAGTTTGCTATCCCTGCATATGTTTCTTATTTGTGTGTTTGTCGGCTGAAGAAGAGATATGTTTCACACATAATTCCGCATCAGCAACAGAGGCAACATGGCTGCACAAGCCGCCGGGACTCTTAGCCACTGGCAAGGGATGGGGTTGACAAAGGAAGTCACACAATGAGATTAGAGTCAGGGGTCATTAATAGAAATGCCAGCTCCAATTGGACCCTGTTGTCCCAAAGCCTGACATCAGTCCCAGAGGAGGTTCTCGTTATAGCAATCCTGCCAAGGCCTCATAGCAGCACAAAAGTCAACTTTCTCTGGAATGGCAAAATGTGCTTGGAAGAATGCCAGAGGCTGCCTGAGAACAAGTGGAATTTGACATGCTGGGGGAGGGGAATGCTTTCTCCATCCAGTACTAAGGGGAGAGCTGTCTTTTGTATGTGAGAGGTTGGAAGAGCCAGCTGGATAAAAGGAGGAATACATAAACTCAAGGCTCCAAAAACCCCAGACATTGAAATTATGAGTTAAACATCACTTGAGATGGATCTAGTAAAAATCCACATCACCTTTCCAAGCAGTTTGTTGCACTCTAGCTAGATATGGAATGGTATCATCTCTGCACTCTGAGATAGTTTCCATCTCTAGCGAACACCTGAAAGCCTTGTTCATGAACAACCAGCAAGTCACTTGTTCAGAAGAAGAAATTCAGTGTATGTGCAGCTGAAGGTGTCACTCCAGAAAAAGTTATGCCAAATAAGACTTGTTAGTCTTTAAGATGGCCACTAAATCTTTCCTTCTTTTTGCTGCCATATATCAGCCATTCACAACCTTTTTTTTGGCCACAGCCATAAACGCAATGTGAAAGAAATATAGGCTGAATCAGGATTGTATAAGTCATATAACAAATCTTGTAAGGTGGTGTGTGAAGAATTGTTTCCAGGCTATGGACCCCTTCAAATGTGCCAGGGCCCCCCAGGGGATGATATGGCCCCCATTGAGAATGGCGGCCATATATTATAAATTCATTACAGTGTGGCATTATTTATATTTTTGTTGCATTTTGTTTGATTTGTTGACATGTATTTCTATGAGAAAAAGTGTAGAAGGATACAGCACCAGCTAGCAGGGACAAGAACTGTAGAACAGCATCAAAGATGCTTCCTTCACCAACCACTGCCATCTCCAGCCATTGACGGCAGCAGTGTCACTGTGATCCACCTGGTGCGAACAGATGCTGCGATCTTTAATGAAGTTTCCCTTTCTTTATTTAGAAACAGTACCTCTCTAGATCTC